ACATACATACATACATACATACATACATACATACATACATACATACATATGAATGTGTATATGTATGTACATGTGTATGTACATATGTATGTATGTATGTATGTATGTATGTATGTATGTATGTATGTATGTATGCTGCATGCATGGATGTGTATGTATGCATGCCTTGAGGCATGCATGTTCGCATGGGTGTTGTGTATTTATGCATGCATGGATGGATGTCTGTCTGTCTGTCTGTCTGTCTGTCTGTCTGTCTGTCTGTCTGTCTGTCTGTCTGTCTTTCTGCCTGTCTGTCTGTTTGTCTGTCTGCATGCATGTGTGTATGAACGATGTACACATGCATGCATTCACTCGACCGTTGGGTTCTTTGTGCAGACGGCCCCGAAGCGCTTGCGCTGCGCCTCTTCCAGGCTTCCTGCATAACTCCTGTTAGGAGGGAATGATCAGGGAATGTTTTCGGGAGCCGAGCTGTGTAGGGCGCAAGGGGTCCCTCACGAAGTGTGTTAAAACCCTACCGTTAATGTGTGTTTGAGGACAAGCATAGTAAGCATTGCACTTACGAAGAACTGCTCTTGTTGCATTCTTAGCACAGGACGCCGAGGCTCAGTGGCCGGCTCTGGAGCAGGGCGAGACCGTGGAGCTCTCGCTGCAGAGCATCAGCTTGCTCTGAAACGCTCGGCCGGTGATCCTTTGTAATTCGCCTATGTAGAGGCGGTTAATCGAATTTTGTCAACGAAGGGCCATGTAAGGTCTGAGGAACGGCAAGAGCTGCGAGGGCGCTTGGGTGCCCACAAGAAGTTGAGGGAAGTCTTGCGAGATCTTGAGAGCCCCGATTCTCAAGGGGGGCATCAAGCAGCCACGCTGTCCTCGGACCTTTATTATACATCGAATCAGATGTGATTTATAAACGGTCAGTAGAGATGGTGGGGATCGCGCCGGAGTGCAAGGGTCTGCTGCAGCTGCAGAATCTGCCAGTCCAACCACGGGCTTTGCAGAGTCTGCGGAGGGTCTGATGAACAGGACGGGCACTTGGGTGCCCAATCGTTGGCAACAGTCCTTGAAAGCATTGAAAAGCACGTTGATCGGGAGTCAATGGGCCACTATGTTGCCGGACCTTTACTTTCTGTCGGCTTCTTCAGACTTGAAAGAATCGATGTGTAGATAATTCGCGGCCCGTGCCGGAGTGCAAGGGTTCGCTGCAATGGTATAGAATCTGCCAGCCCAGCCACAGAGGGCATTGCAGAGTCGGCGGAGGGTCCGTGGAACGGGACTGGCGCTTGGGTGCCGATAAGTCTTCAATATCTGAAACTGTTTTGTCCCATCTTGACAGGAGCGTTATGGCGCATTGATCATGACACCGCCCCCGGACCCGAACTTGAAAAGTCAAACTTGAGTTATAACTTGAGCCCAACTGGGTCCGTGCCGGAGAGCACAACGGTCCGGCGACTATTGTCGGATCTGCTGCAGCCCAGCCTCGGAGGGCATTTCATGTCAGAGACGGAGGGTGCCGGCGAGAGCTGCGAGGGCGCTTGGGTGCCCAGCTTACTGCCTAGACGATCGTGACCTGCATCACAGCTACACTCGAAGTCCAATCACGCAGTAATCTCGCTGGCAGATTTTGTCGCTGCAGAGTCTCTTTCATCTGCTGCGGCCAGAAAAGGAGTGTTCAAGTTCAGAGGTTTCTCATTTGATTTTGCAGCTAGAAGGTCCCACAAGAGCGTTTTTTTTGCAGAGTTTCCCGTGCAAGCATGGAGATAGGGAACCCGGAAAGTCCAGTGAGCTCCGCGCCATCCCGACTTGCATCGGACTTTTGCTAAAAAAGCCATCAGCACCGCCAGACCACAATGAATGCGGATGAACGTGTTAGATAATTACCAATATACTCTTTGGGACTCCTTATTCTCATTATGGTATAACGTTCTACAAAACCCTATTCGAAGTATTGAGGCTCCTACAGTAATGAAAGCATGCCGAGAGTTCGGAGGCTCCGAGGTAACTTAAGATTCGGGCCTAGATAATTACCAATAATATTTGGGGACTCCTTATTCTTATTACGGTATAACGTATCCTAAAAGCCCATTATACTTAACCCCTATAGTGATGAAAGCACGCGGAGAATTCGGAGGCTCCGAGGTAACGCAAGACTTGGAAGGACGCTTGGGTGTCGGAGCAGGTGCTCATAGAAACGAATCCGTATCTCCGCATGGCTGCAAGCAGTATCGATATACCTATATTATACGGATACGTATACTTAAAGCATTATAACGTTGCTTACTGAATTTCCTGGTTTTTTGGAGTAGTGCTCCGCAGAGCCCTGATGGCCTTGCTGGGGAGATGCGCTGGCCTTTCGCCCAACGACGTGCCGCCCTTGGCGGGGCTTGATCTTCCAAGAGCTGGGTCTGCATACAAGTAGATCTACAGTTTTCAATAACCGTAGTCTATAGTCTAATGCGCCCTTAAACCCCTATTCTGGCTATTAAGGCCCACTGTAGTCCCCCTATTCTGGCTATCAAGGCCCCCTGTACTGGCCGTAGCAAGGGCTTCTGTCTGCGGCTCAAGAGCCAAAACTCTGCAACGGAAAGCTGCCACTAGGGAGGTCCGTCGAAAAGGGAACCTTTGCAGGACCGATTCTTCAGGCTCCAGACTCAGACACTCGGCTTTCCATGCTCTGAAGTGACGATTTTGTTGAGCCCTTGGTCGGTTCTGAGACATCTAGTCGGGGAGGTGAGGGAGTCCTTGTTACGCTCTGACTCCGTGCAAGCGTTGTCAACATTTGTTTATGGTCGGACCCTAAACCCTAAACCCTAAACCCCCTAACTGGTGCCTTATTCAGCAGTCTTCACAGGCTGTTCGTCGTCGCAAAGGGAGCCCAAGAGAGGGACAGACAGACAATCAGACAGAAGACGAGACACCGTCTTCGATTGAATTTGCGGCTGAGTGAGCGGCAGTCGGGGCGGCTGGCTTTCCGCGTGCATTTTGACAATTGCGAAGGGTGTTTGCTTATCCTGCAGGGGTCCTTGGGATTAGTTGACTGCCGGGTCCAGGCAGTGTGGAGTGAATATGTCCGAATCATACGACTTACAAGTGGCAGCATTTCCAGACGTTTGCGTGTACTCAATTCTTGCATCAGCGCGAGCTTCAATACTAGCTCTGCCCGCAACATCTGTCATTCAAGTGCCATGCACGCATCAGGTGTTTCGGCGGTGCCTGAGAGAGAGACAACAGCGGATGGAAGTCGGCCAGAACCCTGAACCCGGGACTGAGTAAGGCAGCAGAGTACGGTGGCTGCATTCGATAGTACATCTGCTTAGAGTGTTTCTTGCATCATTCTACTCCTGAGAGCTGTGATGAAGATTAGTTTGTTGTCCCCTTTGATAGGTCGTGTTTAACACATGTTTCTGTTCTTCGAACTGCTGGGCCAGATGTTAGTAGTTGTTGCTGCACCTACGACACTGCTGATGGAAAATCCGTTTAGAGTGGCACGAGCATTTCCGCGTTGTGCTGTTGGCTTTTTAGCTGGATGATGCCACTATAGAAACCATGTTTGTCAGCACCAGTGAGCTGTAGAAGCTGCTGGAGTAGTAAGTAGTAGTAGTTGTTGTTGCTGTGACAGTGGCATTGCCATGACTATGATTAGAAGAAGCCGTCGTACATATCGTCATGTCTCGGGTGATACACATTAGGTTTCCTTCAGACACACGCTATTGCTGTTTCTTGCACGTAGATTCGTGGATGCTACGACAGAGGAAAGCAGGATAGTCTTTTGTGTGGCTTTATGAGGGCGAAACAAATCCATCTTGTCACAGCCCTCCCAACCTGGTTTCGAACTGCAGGCAACAAGAGAAAATCACCAGTCTAAAGGCTGCGAAGATAGTTTCAAGTTTCGTGATTGCAGATCGAGCTTTCCTGAGCATGGGAGGCGAATTTGGCATTGCAAAGGGTCCAGCGGGTGCCGAGTGGAGGCTCTGTAATTTACGACTACCGGTAGATGGCACCCGATTCGTGGAGCAGGCTCAGCAGCTGGCCTTTCTCTAGCTTGAGAACAGCATGCCATCGGATACAGCACAATTAGCCGTCTAGACTTTTCATGGTTGAGCCTTCTGCAGACATCTGCAGTCAACCATGTGCCATGCAGCTGCAATGCTGGATCTCGCAAGAGGATCTACGCATGCCGCTCCTGGCGCAGCCTGTGAGACTGTTAGGAAGAATCGGGATTGGCAGCTCGCGATCCATCTGCTCCGGGGCACATTGCCGACATCAACTGACCAGAAGATGCACTCCAAAGCCATCATCAGTTGCGCAAGCTCTTCGCAATGGCAGCCGGCACTGGAGGTGTTGGCAGACATCATCGAAGCAAGGATCGCGCCGGATGTCTACAGCTTCAGTGCTGCCATTGCTGCTTGCAAAGGGGGCCTAAAGTGGCAACTGGCACTGGGGCTGCTTCTACAAATGAGCTTAATGTATACAGCTCCGAATGAGTTCAGCTGGAATGCTGCCATCAGCGCTTGTGAGAAGACAGGGCAGTGGGAAATGGCAGTGGTGCTTCTGACTAGCATGTCCGCAACTTATGTGTCACCGAATGTGCTCAGTTTCAGTGCTTGCATCAGCGCGTGCGAGAAGGGTAGTGTGTGGCAGATGGCCACATCCTGTCTTGAACAAATGCACACGGCTGAGGTGGAGCCAGACACCATCAGCTTCAATGCTGGAATGAGCGCATGCGAGAAGTGTGGCCAGTGGCAGATGGCCTTGTGCCTGTTCTCGCAAATCAAAGTTGCCGAAGTCCAACCTAGCACGATCAGCGTAAATGCGTGCATCAGCGCATGTGAAAAGGGAGGCAACTGGCAGATGGCCCTGCACTTGATCTCACGTATGCCGGCTATGGCAGTCTCTCCGGACACGGTCAGTTTCAATGCTGGCATGAGTGCATGCGAGAAGGGCAGTAAATGGCAGACGGCCCTCCAACTGATGTCAGAGATGCCGCGAGCCAAAGTTTCGCCCAACACGGTCAGCTTCAATGCAAGCATCAGCGCATGCGAGAAAAGTGGTGAATGGCAGTCGGCCATCGCTTTGCTGTCCGAATCGTTGATCTCTCAAGTATTGCCGGATACGATAACTTTCAATGCCAGCATGAGCGCATGTGCGAAAGGTGCTGAATGGCGTAGGGCAGTATATTTTTTGTCGCGAATGCCATTGGTCAAAGTCATGCCTGACAAGATCAGTTACAATGCTGGCATGAGTGCATGCGAGAAAGCTGGTAGATGGCAGATGGCTTCGTTCCTACTGTGCGAGATGCTGTCAAGCCAGATCTCACCCAGCACGATCAGTTTCAATTCCGCGATCAGTGCGTGTGAGAAGTGTGGCGAATGGCAGATGGCCATGCAGCTGCTGTCGCAAATGCCTGCCGCGGACGTTGTTCCAAGCACTATCAGTTTCAGTGCCGTAATTAGTGCTTGCGAGAAAGCCGGTAACTGGCAGACGGCTCTGCGATTGTTTGAACAGATGTCGACAGCCAGGGTTGGCTTAGACACCATCGCTTGCAGTGCCGGCATCAGTGCCTGTGAGAAGGGCAGTGAGTGGCCGGTTGCTTTGCTCTTGTTTTCTGGAATGCCAACTGTCAGAGCTGAGCCAAATGTCATCTCCCTGAATGCCGCTATCAGTGCATGTGACGGC